GAAAGAGGAGAGAAAGTATGGTGCTGAGCATGGGGTGTGGAAATGTTTTTATAGCTGGATGTTCCACTGGTGTGCTATTCTTACTAGGCAGCTGTAGCAAAAGACTAAATCCAGTTGTTATTCACATTTTAAAGAGACACTTTTTATTCTTGAGACAGGTTATTTGTGGTTTGTTTCCTAATTGTGAAACACAACTGTAATTCATTTTATAACATAAAATGCACAGCATTATTTTACATGAATAATGTAATTTCAATACATTTAGCTCAAAACCTAAGTTTAATTGTAAGTGCCATGAAATATACTAGTCAATGATTACCTGTCAGTTGCAGAATTTAACTTGTGTAAGATTGCTAATATAAAAATTACATAATTCACTGCCATTCAGACGCCATCACCTTCGTAACATTTTTGAAACTTCAAAATAAAGATAGAAACATTTGTGTGACTAAAGAGAAGGAGGAAGTTAATAAAATACGTATACTAAAAAAAAAACCACTGGAAGTTCTGTAATTGAAATGCTGTTTTCTTATTTATGAATCTATGTATTTGATAAAGATTGCATAATTTAAGACTTCTGACACATCTGATGATGCTATTCAGCCTCAAAATAATTCTAAAATTCTAATTACTGGTAGAGTATTCTTTCTAATTAGAGCAGAATGAAAGGATGATTTTCACTGCAATAATGAAGGTTAATTTCCATCCTTCCTCATGTTTACTACCTTATTAAAAAGTGCTCCCCTTAGCCATGGCAGAGACGTATTACATTTTCAATGCAAATGTATTAATCTGGATAAATTCCATATTAATTCTTGCACTGCATAGAGCTGTAATTTGGATTATAATTAATCTAAAGTGGCACTAGATTTAAATGACAATATAAATGAGGCATTAGTAGGCTTTTCTATTCTGAATGAATATTCAACAAATATAACTTGCATATTGCCAAGTCTCATTTTGAAAGCTCTACTCCTTGAGATAAGGTAAGCAATACAGCACAACAGCTTACACAAACATACTGTTGCTAAATACATGTTAATCCTTTCTCGTCTAATAGATTCTATGCTAAAGAGGGGTCACACCGCTTTCCTGTCTAACTTGTTAGTATTGTGATTAATTTATTGGTTTTCCTGAGATTTCTTTGGCAAGACTTGCAACACTCAATTTATGAGAAAGCCCAAATTAACATTCAATTATACATAAGCAGTTATGCAGTCAATAGAAATACTTGTCAGCCGAGTGAAAATTAAGATGATAGTCTGAATGTTGCATGTGCAGAATTAATTTAGATTAGGGAAATAAAAATTACCTAAAGATTTAGGATTTTACAGTAAAACTGTTTTCTGCAAAGAACAAAGGCAATCATGTATTTCAGCCCTTGTTTTCATATGGATCTTACTGCAAAGTTATTTGTGTAATTACTGGAATGGGAATGCAGAACAACTATGCTGGTTTTTTGTAGTGCACCCAGTAGGCATCTGGATATAGGTTTGTCCTAATTAAACTTGGCCCTTATGAGTGGCTAATCCTGATGGAAATTTGAGAATTCCCCCTCAGTATTTTTTTCTAGATTCCACCATTTTATTTGCTGGAGCTTTAATACCGTATTCTTTCTTGAACAGCTATAAATGGACCTGCCTAAGAAACAGAGAGGGGTGATAAACTCCTTGAAGTGGTTCACAGTGTCCCCTAGGCAGCATGTATGGTAGGAAATGCAGGCTGCAGGTCTCTGTCACCTGTCTCCTGGTGAGTCTCCAGGACAGCAGCTGCTGAGGCTGCACAGGACGACATATGTCGGCCTGGGAGCATGGCTTTACTGCACTGCAGACAGTTTTTGCCAAGTCAGAGAGCCAGCCACAGGGAATATATATTTTAAACCACAACACAGTTCCTTGCTCAACATCATCCTTGTCATCATCGACCTTTCTTCCGTCTCTTGATCTCAAAAAAATAAAGCAACTGAAGACGATCTGAGGTTCTAAACTGTGATGGGTACTGACCTTAGCACATCAACAAGCAAACTTACAGGAAGCTTTCATGTTTAACTCAGTCTTCTGAATTGGCTCGGCATAGACAGGGCCATCTATAATATTTTTTTGAAAATGTATCTATAAATGTTTAATATGTAAAGAGCAACAGTATGAGAGATTTTGAGTGTAAAGAAACTCATACGTAAAATGATATTTTCTCTACAACTATATGTCTTACGGAGATACAACCTCCTTTGTATGCTGCTGTCATTGACGTACAAGGATAAGATATATGACTACCTGAAACTAATAGGCTTCAACCTGTTTCAGCACTTCTTCTGCTTCAGTGAATCCAACATAATGTAACTAGGTATAGCGTGCGGCAAAAGTAGCCAATGTAATATTCATTGTGACCATAGATTTCCATCTCATACATAAAAAGCATGGATGAAGTCACATATTTGCCAAACCAAACACAGAAAAAGCCTTGGGTATCTGCACCAGATGCTGGCCCTGGGTTTGTTTGTGCACAAGTAAATGTCATGACATAGGGGTTTTGTTTTCAAAGACAGTAGCTTTCATTACTGGGCTTTGTCTATTCCAGGAGATCAAAATTACCCAACCCATAATCCGTTTTCAATGATATTTCCTCTTTCTTAAGCTGAATCATCTGTAAACTTTTTCACTGGATTTTATGTATTTTTTTCAAAATGCCTCAAATAAATGCCCAGGAAGAGGCCAGATTCTTGGGAGTAACTGATCAGAGAGCAAGAGCAAAAAATAATAATAACAAAGAAACCCACATTCTTTGGGTTAAAAGGGGGCAATACCTGATTGAAGAAAAAAATTCAAGTGGTACCTAATCCTATGCTTATGAAAAATTAATATGCCATCAGAGGAATCACAAGTACAGCTAAGATTAATGAAAGGCGCTTAAAAAATTACAAGCACACAAACTGATTTGATTAAAAAATAATCTCACTGGTCGTCTTGTAATATTCTTCAACTTATCCGCATCTATCCTGTCAGATGGTTATGATTAAAAATAGGTCAATGGGAGGCTACTGATAGAAATCACATGCAAAATGCACATGCAATGAATAGTAGTGGGAATGTCCAGACAGTTTAAAATGAAAGAGCATTTCATAAGTTAAAAAAGGGGGAAGACAAAATTCCAGCATCTTACCAGAGTCTTTACAAGATTTTTTGCCTTCACTATTGTCTCTCTCACTTGAGTCTTTCTCATCAGCAACAGCTACTGTTGTACTTTTAGCAGACCCTTCTGTATCTTCACCTTGTTCTTCTGTGGATAAGCACAGAAAAGATCTTAGAAAAGAAACTCAGTGACCATTTAACAGCTTTTTAAAAATATGTCCTCTAATAAGAACAGTGCGGAAAGAAGGTGGCAAAACAGCGGGAAAAGAGGTTGGGGGGAAGAAAAGGGAAAGGGAAAGAAGAGCACTTTAAACAGATTGGACATTAATTACGAATAATTCGCTATCTTTCAAAATCTACCCAGAAATTCTGACCGTGTCCTTATCAGAGTACCTGCTTTCCACCAGTGTGGCAGATTTAAAGCCTGTCATTTCATATTCTTTGCTAGAAATGCTTTGTGTTAAAATACATGCACACACATGCACACACGCACCACACAGGCTGAAACAAAAACAAAAGCCAGCACATGTAAAAACATGCCTTGGAGCCAAAAAAAAAAAAAAGAGAGAAAAAGAAAAAAAAAGGGGGGACTTCTCAAGTATAAATCCTATTAGTGCAGCAGTATCCTGCTAATTGCAGTAAGTAAGAATTAGGTATTAGGTACTGTATTAAACCTAAACCGCTGGCTTTGCAGGAGAAGTCTCAGGTTTTGTCCCCAGGGGGAGCAATCCAGGATAAATGATGCGACTTGGTGCATGGCTGCTGAGGAAGCGGTGTTGCCCACACGTCGCTTACGTGTTCACACCAGCTAGATTACATGGAAACCTTCACAGTAACTCCAGCCCGTTTAATTATTCGGTAAATCTTAGCTACACTGCTACTGGTGGATTAATCTGTTTATGCAGTTAGCTTCTGTGCTGGGGTTGTGTAGCACTAATCCGTGAAAGGCCCACTGTTCCTTTTCTTCCTGTGATCATTTGTCTCTCACTGTGCTGATGTCACATTTTAATGAATTTTTAGCAATCTGCGTAATGCCAGATAACCAGACTTGCAACTCCCTACAGCACAGCATGCTGTTTTCATTGCAGCGCACAAAAAAAAATAAAAATTATATTTCCCCACTTCAGGTAGGAATTATATAAATTAGGAGGTGAAGGTAAAATGGGATTCGAAGCACCAGGCCACTCAATTTCATAAAATCTTTAATGACCATATAAATTAACCCTGGAAAGGCAAAAGGTCACAGACACACATTTGCATACACTCCTCTATTCACTTTTGATAAGCAGAGCTTTTATGCAGGGAACATGATACAATTAACCCTTCAGGAACCACACAAAATGCAGCTACCGACATTTTAAGTGTCAAGCATTAACTGAAAATTACACACTGCATAAAATTTTCATTGCAAATGCTATAGTGATTGAAAGGGGAAATAGTGGCCCTCTTCGCACCCCATGTTTTATTAATAACATTCTGACAGCCGAATGAAATATCCTCTGTCATATGTAGCAGCTGAGCACAAAAAAATTGCTGCTTAGTGCCTTACTTGCCAGCCACGCACTGAAACTGTATGCCTAGGCAAACAACCCTCAGATCGATGTGGCGAACCTATCCGATTCTCAACTCTCTGCGAAACCTTTTGTAAATCGCAAGAGAAACACACAGCTGCAATTTTGGAAACCAAACCAAAAGAAAAAATTCTCAGCCACAGATCAATGTGTTTTGCATTGATGTCGAAATACAATAGGTTAGGACCAAGAATGCGTGTCCACTTTTTGGAACAATACCGGGAGAAAGACGGTCCCCTATTTAAAAATAATTGCCTATAAAGAAAAAGAATTTCCATCAGAATGGAACCACCCCCTCGTGCTGTTCCTGCGCTCTCCCCGCTGCCGCCCCCCGCCCCCTCCCGCGACGATAGCTAATCAAACATGGTAGGCATCCCAACCGCAGCTGGAAGCAGGGCTGTGTTTGTCAGGGTGGCGGGGGACCGCGGGTGGGGATGCTGCAAGCCTGTGATCATGCCTGGCTCGGGCTGTGTTAACGCTGAGAGCGCACACATGAGGCTCGTATCCAGTGTCAGGCCCCGTGGCCTCACAGAAATGATGGCAATCCCTTTCCGACTCATCCCTGGGAACGGACACATTGCTGCTTTTACTAGATTTACTGGCCCAATCCCCCTGGGCTGGAAAATGAAGTGTCAAAGTGCTACTGAGTGTCCTTATCTTGAGGGGACATAAAATTGTAAGGGCTATCGTGGCATACATTAATAAAACATTGTGAGTGTGTCAGGCAAAGAGAAAGAAAATTATGAAGGCACTAAAACAAAAGCTACAGTATCATCTGGGTCTCATCAGACAATTTTTGCAGGGTGCTCTCCTGTTTTTCTGGTATGTGTTTTAAGTGTGAGAGAAATTCCCAGACATGTTCTCCTATACATCATCGTGGTGTCTGACCTCAGCCTGACCCCGGCAACAGTTTGAGAAATCTGAATGTGAACAAAGACTCTGTGTCAGCAGCAGGGAGAGATTGCGGGATAGACTTTCCCCATCAACTTAATCGCAAACAGCAGTTCTGAGGCCATAACTTTACAGGGCTCCACCAAGCCACAAACACATAACCTTTAGAGGTGAAACTGCCCCCCGCTCTCTGCCCTGCCCCGCCCCCCCCCGCGATTTTTCTCAGTCTTGTGGTGCTCCCTTTGATGTAGCAAGGCAATTAGCTCTAATGTTCAAGTACTGCAGACCTGTTTTATGGTTTGGAAGGTGAGAGCTGTTTATTACAGGTAGGCTCCTGGGGGCCATAAAGGCTTTGCAAATTTTTAATCATGCAAAAAACTAATCAAAATGTAACTTATACACACCATAAAAATTAATATCATTATTATGCACGGTATAAATTGCCTGCCTTGGCTTTCAATGGCACTCACTTCTAGAAAATACATTTGGCATTCATTTCAGAAATATGTATGGCATTCACTTCAGAAATAAATTTCACAGACAGAAATGATAATACAGTTTCTCCTATTTCCCTTCAAAATTACAGAAAGGCTAAGATTCACACTGTCACGACATTTATCAAAGGGACAAGATGGAAATACAACAGCTCTAACATAAAAGCAGTTAGCAAATCATAAAAAATCCTTAAGACCATTCATTACAACAGATATTAAGGATATGTAACGAAGTGTGCTAAGACATTACATACTTATGCCAAGATGCTACTACGAGCGTCTCTTTTTTTAACATTTTTGTTCTTGCTTTATATACTAACCAGCAAGAATACTACTCAGTTATAAAAATGTGATGGACTGTGCTCAAAGACACAAAATTTTGAATTGTTACGTATCAAAAAAATACACTATGATGGTGCTACAGATTCCAGAACAAGTCGTAATGCTCTGTTTCAAATTTACAGGAGTCTTACCTATATACATTTACAAATGTCAGCTTTGAAAATGAATAGAACACCAGAATCAAATGTACTTTAATGGCTTTAATAACACTTATGATTGCAATATGATATTTTATTCACACCTGGTTTTATTTTCTCCAAATGTTGAAGAGTTCTTTTGATGTTGGATCTCTTGAGTTTAGCCATTATCAACCTTTTTCCTCACAACTGACTTAGAACTAAACACAAAAATGAGGTTAGCAGTCTGCACTAGAACTGTGAAATAAGGGAAAACGGAAAAGTTAAGCTTCAGAGGTAATGTTAATCAGTTGATATTGTATACTATATATTCTACGCCGTACACTTTGATGTGTTAATCTACACTCTCAAGCCCCAATTCTACACCAATTTTATGAAGGAAAACCCTTATGACTTTCCCCAGCCCAATGAATTCAAGATGTGTGATGATTTCAACTGCAAAATCCAGGCCTCAGCCAAAGTTGAATAGCAGATACCAGCAGCAAAATTAGATGAATATTCATACACAGATTATAAAAGCTTGACTTACTGAGATGCAAATAAAGGAACAAATGCATTCACCATAGCCAAGGGAAGGTATAGAGAAACAAATAATATTTTTTGAAATATAGTACTGAATAGTTAAAACAAGACATGGCCAAGTTGAAAAAGTCTTCTCTCATTTAATTTAAATGCATTGTGATAAAAACAGAGGAATATCAATCACCTTTCCCTGTGTTTTATCAGAGAAGTTCCCCTACTGATAGGCAGCATTGGGAGTCTGTCTTCAAGTCTATTTATTTAAGAAGCATATTATTTTCAAGGACTGATTTTTGTTGGCTTTTGTTTACACCACTGATATATCAATCAATAGCCAGTAGTTCCTGTTTTGGTCCTGGATTTTGTTGTTGGTATCCCTTTTGCCATCTCCAAATTGAAAGTAATTTCCTAAAGAAGGATGATCTGCTAGTTGTGGGTGAGTAATTGTGGTTATGAGAGAGAAAGCAAGATTAAGCAAGTGTTTGTGGCTGAGGGCCAGATAGATGAGGAAAGAATAAATCAATCAACTGAAGTAGTAAGTAAATAAATACAAAAAGAGAGAGATTTTAAAAAACAATTGGTGTTTGTTATTCAATAAGTTCATTAACTAGCTGAATGAAAGGTACCCATAAGTGTTCAGTACAGGTGTATCCCAGGTTCAAGTGTATACGGCTTATTGGGATTAACTATCAGGATGAGAAGGTAACCATTAGCAAAGGATAACGGAAGGGTAGATTGGGGGGATGGACAGACAACAGATAACATAGGGAAAGGAGGAACAACTAAAATAAGAAAATAAAGAAAAATCTGCAGAATATGCAAGAGAAGAAAAAATTAATTAAAAGCAGGGCTTCTGGATTTACTTCTGGGTTATGTTAGTTACACTACTTAGTTGATAAATTGTCCCTGACTTCTGGATTGCCATTTATTCACCCAGATATTCCAGAAAATATTTGCTCTATATTCTGGCTGGTCTTGCCAAGCATGAGTGAGGAACAGGATGCCTCACTCATTCAGGATCTTGACTGCATCCTCTCGTGGTCATATTTCATCTTCAAATAGGATTTCTAATTTCTCCTTTAGAGACTCAAGGGGAATAACGGCACCAACCCATTAATAACTGTTTCTAATCACTGTGTTATATTTAAAACTATGGCTGTTAAAAGGTTGAACTTCCCACAGACAAGCCTATAA